AATTTCATGTTAATATAAAACATATTATTGGTATTAGCATCGTTTTTATTAGTTTTCAATTCACCCCTCATTTCACACTCTTGCTGACTTTCGTTATATTTATTTATTCACATAATAATATGAAAATCATTTTCGCTGAGGATTACACTCTGTATGTGTCCCTTTCACATTGTCTTCAATATTATTCCCTCAAAGAAAATTTTCGATGTTTATCAAATAAATTTTCCCAACGTGATATTGTTGTTTTATAGACCAGAATGAATAGTAAATTATAATCAGATTTTGTAAGGGTGAGGGATGAAGAGTTAAGTATAAAAATGTTAAAGATGGTTTCATTTTGTCCGTTTATTAGAAAGTGACAATTTATTAAAATGATATGATTAAAATAAATTAGATTAAAAGATTGCATAAAACACTTTTTAGGAATAATTTTCATTTTAAACTTTTACCAAGAAAATGTTACTTCAAATGTTAAAATCTTATTCCTGCCTTAGCATATTAAATAAAGATATAATTGATAAGATTAAAAGCTGGGAAGCAGTGAAAAAATTAGTAAATGCGCTTTTGTTCCATTGCTGAACGTTAATTATTTCTCAATTTCAATTTTCTTCAATGTTTTCTTCAAACCAAATCGAAAATTTGGCTTTAAATCACGTGAAGGATTTTCTTATTGTTATTTGTATCAGCAATGATTTTATAAATTATGTGCATATGTGTAAACAGGAACAGAATATTTGCGATATATTTGTTGATGTTTGTAATACAACCAAATTCATAATTAAAGAAGAACATACATTTAAAAAAGAAAATCTTTTCTCTTCTAAATGAAATATTGGTAATTTTCGTCCCCTTCAAAAGTCAAATTTAAAGGGAGTATTTCCTACAAGATACAACTTACAATATGTAATGCAATTTATCATGTCGAGTAAATCCTTTTTAAATTAGATTTTTAGATTGTTGTATATCTGAGATATAAAAACATTATCATTGCATTTAGGCAAGAATTTCGACATCTAAGTGGTCTATTAATGATTCCATTATTGCGATTAGTAGATGAATTAATTAAATATGTTGTAGATAAATTTATTCAGTTCACAGTGTTCACTAATTGAATGTAAACATTAAAATAAATTTTATGCCAAAAAACTTTTTGCACAGCTCACATGGCCTATAAGAAAGTGCAAGATCCTCTTCCGCACGTGACTCGTGACAAAATCGATAAAAATTAATCGAAAAGTTTTTCATTATCGTGTAAGGTTATGTTATAAAACTTTTTACTTCTTCTCTCTAAGTTTTTTGTGACCATTAACTAATACTATACCATTTTCTTCGAAACTTTTTATCATCGTCATGATCATCATCTTCAATATTTCGGAAGTGAAGAAAAAAAGTTTTCTTCACTTAAAGTTAAAAAACGGTAAAGGCAACGAAATAAATTTTTATGGACGAGCAAAATAAAAGTAATAGCATTTCACATAAAACTGAATCACAGTAACAATTTGGGTTGGATAACGATGCGCATGATTGTTATCCTCCTCCGTCTATTGCTTTCATTTCTTGAATAGAGGGAAAAAATTATGGAATCCTTCTTTTGGGGGTTTTCTTTTTATCCACCATAATCAAAATGATTTTTCATCAAAAAGTAAGAATGAAAATGAAGGAATACGTTTAAAGTCTTCAACAATTATCTTTGATTTGTAGTAATAACACATTTTTTAAAGCGCATTAGAAATGTTTGATCAAATTAAATACAGATTTACAAAAAAATACAACTTTAATAGCTAATCTTAGCTAAATAGTTTTATGCATCAAATAATATTCTTTTACACTTTAAAAGATAATTTTTTGATAATTAAATTTGAATTTTTGTTTGTTTAAACTCTTAAAATATTAAATTTTTCTTGAAAAATATATTCTCAATTAGTATTGTCAAATTGAATTTTGCCACTCTCCTATCAAAATGTCTTGCAAACTAGAAAAATCTCACTTCAATCTCTTGATAATTAAAACCAACAATTTTATTTCCTACATATATTAATATTTTAGCTCATTTTTGAAAACTTGTATTGTAAGTCGTAGCTTAATAATGCACTTTGTTTGGGAGCTTACTGTTTTATCGAGTTATTAAAAAAACTCTTCATTCTCTTCAATTAAGCATGGTTAATTATGTTAACCTACGTAATTAATACGACAGTAGTAAATTACGTACGTATTTTGTACGCAATGTATTAAATTAGATAAATGTGGTGTTCAATCTTTTTATTGTACTGTAGGAAATACGTCTCCTAGTATATTTATAAGCTAAAATGTATATCTCTGACAATAACCATCTGAATCTTGTGTATATTATTCTTATATCTGATATCTTTATTGGTCTCAAGTATCTTAAAGACTTATTGCTCATAACCATTATGTCCTCTCACACAGTACGGTAATGCTTTATTTTGTTATTTGTCAAGCTTTACTACTTGCATGGTAAAAATTTTGATGGGAAATTCACCATTATTTCCCATTTGTCCCATTTTTTGTGGAAAATTACCCATCATAAAGTGGGGAAAATGGTAAAAAAGGAAAAAAATGAGAATTTTATAATCAAGTAGTTTTCCCCTTAATCAAATACTGATCGCTGAGACAAAAATGCTCTCAAGTCTCGAAAAGCACGAAGACTTGTAATTTTTTTCTATCAAACATGCCAAAATTCATAATAATCTTTTTCTTATTCACCAAACAAATAAAGTTTCTGTTAAGAGTGTAAGTACATTTAGAAGCCTTTAAAATTTGGGTACTAAAATATTCATAGTGCTGACAAAACAATATATAAAAAGTTTGCTGCCTGCCTGTAAAATTTTATTTATTCAATGTGAGTCTGAATACTAGTGATGTTAAAAGAGAGAATTTCACGTAGAATGCATTTGACGGGTCAGTGTGAAATTTCTTATGGCAAAACAATTCAAAAATAAAAGAAACTCAAATATAGTCGACGTAGACTGACTAGGTTTTTGTTGTTCTTCAATATTTATTTCACGAAATGTAAATACTAAAATGTTATACCATACATATAATAATCTAAATTCTTTGTTGATGTAAAAAACAATTTTGGTGCTTCCTTTGAAGCAAATCATAAACTGATCGGAGCAAGAATCCAAGAATTTTTAAGTCTAATATTCTTTAATTTTAGATGTGTAGCAGAATATTTAGACAAACATCGCATTGTGTAAGGAACAGTAAGGAATTTGACTTTTAAATGAGTAAATTTAGCTACCTGGTGGTCTTGTAACTAATGTCGGTATTTTTCATGGTCAGAAATAAATGCTTCACATAGCTTCACATATTAAGCATTTATATTTTCAATTATAATTTTTTATCACTGTAAATTTTAGTTCTCAAATAACCGAAAAATCTAAAATTTTGGTGACCCATTAAAATACTACCCTAATTGATGTGCATAGTTTTACTATAACATGCAGATTGATTTCTATAATATAAACAACCACGCTACAAAAATTGTGTGTCGCGAGTTTTATTTAATTTCAAAAATCCTTCTTATCCTGATAATAACGTGAGAGGGTTCCAGCCAAGCGATTTGTTACGTCACGTTGCGACAAGCTGGAGGCAATGCGATCCTGATCGATGATAGAATCTATCTATATTATTTTGACATTCCTAGATTATTTGCAGACCTAAAGACAATGTTTTTGGTGGGTTTAGACCCAAATATGATGCTCAGTGTAAACAGTTTCTAGCCACAAAAATCTAGATGATTGAAACACGATAGCATCATTAAGCGTAGAAGTCAAAATGATTTCCAAAAACAAGTGAAAACAAAATACATTAGTTTAAGAGAATTCAGTACTTACTTAGTATTTCACAACATTTTAAACATGAGCTGAATCGAAAAAGGCTTCAAAAATGAATAAATCATAAATATTCAGACAGCGAATGCTTTTCAACAAGATTGATTGGCATGATATATAAAAACATCTTTCTTGCTTTTATTTATTTTTTTACAAATCATGTCCTTTTTCCATTCTCTCTATGGAAATATTTATATCGTCAGCAATGATATTGTAGAAAATGCGTAAAAGTATCAAACAAAAAGGGGTGATTGGTACTGATTATTTATTATGCAAATTATACTGTCATACCCGTAAATGAAATTTTAAAATTTTTATCATCATCATAGGATGCGCCTTTTAACTTCTCACTCTACATCATTTTTTTAACCACTCGGTTTTTGTATGATACAGAATCAAAAAAAAAATTCATGGAAAACAAGAAAATTGCATTTTCTCGGTTGTTACTTGTGATATTTTTTTTTATTTTGAAGCTGGCTGTATTAGTGAGTGAGTGAGAAAAACACATAAATCAGAAATTATTTAATGGAATTTGCTGGTTAAACGTTTGTTTTCTCTGGTTCTGCCACATTTTTGTTTTCCCCCTTAAAAATATCTTTTATTGTGTATGGTGCGGTTTCCTCAGCTTCATTTTCATCACCAACTTTAATATGAGGGTGGGAATTTAATGCTATATTATATATTATTGGGTCATGATATGTTTGTGTTTTGTCTTTCTTTCCTTCTGTTGTTCCTTTGCTTTATATATCTGTGATCTCTGGTGTTAAGAAGAACAAAAAATCAATGTGGAAGATTTTTATATCTCCTTTGGGATTTTAAATGGCAAACATTAATTGTACATTATGAAAGAGCATATTAAACACCTGTTCCATATTTGGAATTAAGTATAACACAACAAATATACAAAAAATATTAAAATGCTATTCTTTTCTCTTTTTTTTTAATAACAAATGTTTGGCGGCAACAAATAAGAGAATTATATTACTAGGAATGCAAAAGTGTTATTTATTCATAAGAAAAAAAAAGACAATTTGAAAAGCTAGGGAAAGGATTTCAATGTCACACATTTTTTACTGAATTAAAAACTAATGAATTAATAATGACTTTTCACTCTGTTTATTTTCGCTCTTTTCCATTCAATTCTAGGTTTGGTTCCAAGTAAGTATTTAAATTTTCATGTTTGAAAGTTGTTAAATTTTACACTTTTCGAATTTCTTAGTCTCATTTTTGGAGATCATTCAGGTTTTGGGAAAAAAAGAGAATCTTTTAAAATTGGGAATATACGAATGAATATCCTGGTGACCTTAATCCAAAAATAAACTTTTTGTTCAAAAATTTTTGAAACTATAATCAAATGTATAAATTCTTCCGACGAGTTTTATTGTCCCGGCAAATTTAACTTCATCATTACAACATTACATAAGACAAACCACTTATTCATTAAAAATGTCTTCTTTCTTTCGTTTCATTTATTTTTAGAATAGACGTGCCAAATGGAAGAAGCGGAAGAAGACTACTAATGTATTTAGAACACCAGGTAATAAGAGAAATATATATATATATATATAAAAATAAAGTAAATAAATTTAGACATGTATGCATAGTGGTGTTGAGTAAAACAGAAGAAAAATTAAGTTCAATGAAAGTTTTACGCCACATAAGGATGAAATAAAAAAAAAACATTTTTATTCTTGGTTTCCTTCTTCCTTTTAATTTATGGCTATAAATGAACTGTTAATATAATACAACATTTTCATTATAGGTTCTTTATTGCCATCACATGGTTTACCACCTTTTGGTGCAAATATAACAAATATTGCCATGAGTGAAAGTTTATGTGGAACATCAATGTTTGGTAGTGAACGATGGAGTGTTGGAGTGAATCCAATGACTGCTGGTAATTATACTTGTTCTCAATTTTTACTATGATATCATTTGCAATAAATTAACCAAATTTATAACTAACACATTAAGGCTTTGGGCAACTTAATCAATCATCCTCCCTAACACAATCGCTAAATGGAGCTTTAAATTCTGGTATTAACATGTCTTCTGCCATGAGTTCGGGTACCTACCAGCATTACGGACTTAATTTAGGTTAGAAATAAAAAACCACAACTTTAAGTCATGCATTACGTCATAGTTTTTTCGTGTTCATATTTTGGTATTGAAATTAAATTTATTTCTCGTGTCTTAATTAGTCGCAGTTCTGCATGTGACTTTTTGAATTAATTAACAACTAAAGTATTTCTTAAAGTGTGATGAATCTCTCATGTTTATATTAGCATGCTCTGACATATTGTACTAATCTTGAAGATTTTAATGAAAAATGTCAATAATGAACGAGAAAAATTCCGACAACGAATTTAATGATTTTTCCACTAAATTGATTTATCACGACAAGGTTGACAGTTTTTATTTTGTTTCATATGCGACACAAAAGCTTTTAACCTAATTGGTAGTTTTTTATTTAAAATTCTTCTTTATATGTTTGCACATCCAGTTTTACGCTTGAATAATTAAAAATACAAACTTGAGCACAGATTTTTTTTATTTTATTTCTATATAGTTTTAAGAAATTATATATTTACTGTAGACATAAGTGATTAAAGCTTTTTTTTTGTTTACCGTGTACTCACATTTTTAATACTGTTAATTAATTGAAGGCGCTATAAAAAAACAAAAAGTTTATATTAACAAATAATTATGTTTATTTGTATAGGTGATTCTATGATGTATCATAATACATCGAACACAAATGGAAATTGTTCTGGTCCCGGAAACAGTTCACCGAATTCTACTCCACCAAATATCAACGCATGTTCTTCAACGACTCCACCATTATCAAGTGGACAAACAAATCAGAGTGATGGAAATGGCAACGATATGGTAAGAAATCGATAATCTTGCTGAACTTGTACAACTATAGAAAAAAAAACTTATAAATAATTTAATCTAGAATTCGAATCAGCAACAGCTTGTTAGTTGTCAGAATATATCGTCCAATGAGGTAAATTGTTTAACAGTCTAACTGCTAGAATTTAGTTGATGCTCACAAACTGCTTGAATTTGATTTTCACTGGGATGTATTTTTAGGGAGAAGATGATGTATGGCGAGGACACAGTATAGCAGCGCTCAGACGGCGAGCATCTGAATTAAATGCTACAGCATCAATACCAATTTATGCTCATAATTATGAACATCATGTGTACTAGCCTTAAACTCAACTTTGAAATTTTAATTGCCCAAAAATTCATGCTGAAAGTATTTAAATAATTTTATCATTGATTATTTTTTAATGAAATCGTCATACAAAAATCGTAAAATAATAGTTTGAGTCATTTCCATTAAAAAGTTTTTAAAAGTTTAATACTAGAGGGCAGTATTCAGCAATTCAAAATTTTAAATTCAGTTTTATTTACATGATGCAAAAATATCATTAAACAGTGAGAAACAAATTATTATTAATGCAATTGCTCAAGAATGTCTTTAAAATCATGTTTGCGAATTGTTTTAGGAATTGTAAATAGGATTGAAAATGCTCGACAAGAAAAAAAAAATTATAAATCACTATTGAATACTCCATGTGTATATAACCGTATATGTGCAAATTAAGGCGAAAAGATTTTCAAAATTTAAGCAAAAAGTTGAAAACGTCTTTATTATTCTGAAATAACCAAGTTTTTTTCTTTTCTTATTTCAATACCGATTGTGAAAAAAAAACGATTGATCTTAAATTGTAATTTCATATTCTGAAACTAAATGAAATCGTTCATAATTGACACTGAAGAAAATATAGAGAGCACATAAAATACTGCAATATTTCACCTCATTTGAAACTTAAGTACATATTAAAATTGTTTTTATCGATGAACATCAATTTTGCAAATGCAATTGAACTTTGATATTCTGCTTCAAACGAAGTTTATTGCGCATATGATGAAACATTATTGAAAATCAGAAAGTCAAATAAATGAGTCTTGATTGCAAGAGGAAATGAATGTGGTGAGAAAATTAATTTTAAACATACTGCAGTATTCTATTTTCATCATCTTGATCATTTGTCTTTGAGGAGACTGTATCATAAAATATTTGGAGAGGTGTTTGAACCCAATCAATTTTTTTAAATTATGTTTAATAAAATCGTTCAAATTGATTTTATTGCAATGTTCTAGTTTACATCCGAATGATACATCCGAAAAATGAAATTTTATTTGAATTTAATTAAATTTGCTATTTCTATTAAATACATTTATAATTAGCTTGAATTTAATCAAATACAAATAATGTAAATTTACTTTTCCATTACAAACAGCTAGAAAATATTTTTAGAAATCATGCTCCTTTTGATTTTGAGCTTTCTGAAGTCAGAATTTGAAATTAAAAATTTAAGATCCTTTTCATTAATTTTATCAATCAAAATTTTCTAAAATATGTAAAATCTTTCAGACATGAAAATTTAAGTTTAATTCATTTCGAACAAAACTTACTTACAAGTCGTAAAGGTTATAATTTAAGACAAAAGGATTGAAATCTTTTAAAGAGCGTTGATTCCAAGATATGAAACTATTCTTTTTAAGTCACAAAATGAGTGCACAAAATTACGTCCGAAGAAATAAGATATAAAAATAAAATTTTCAATTTTAATATTTAAGAAAAAGATAAGGTTTGTATATGATGTATGTGCATAAAAAATTTATAAAGCTATTATAATAGTATATACCCATATCACCTACTTTTCTTCTTATCGTCTCTTTCAATTTTCTTTCAAAATGAAAAAAAAAACAGGAGAAAGGGAAGCAAGAAATTTGCATCAGCAACAAAATTACAACCATTATACGTATACGATAAAATGATAATAATTTTCATTCAATACTTCTTCCTATCTTTTACATAAATTAAAATAATATATCAGTAGAAACTTTAATGGAAGAAGAAAATATTTCTATTTACATTTAATATACATCATTGAGAAATAACATTTTATTATAAATTGATACAAGTCTTTTATAAATTAAACAATTATACACTCTAATAGAAATATTAAGAAGAAGAAGAAGAAGAAGAAAAACTGAAGCTAAATTTAAAATTGTGTAAAAATTTAATTATTTATAGTTAAAAGTGTACTTTACAAGAAAAAAATGTGTAAAAAGCGAAATTGAAGCATCAAAGCCCTGTGTCTATTGGTATGAAAAATTTCAATTCACTTAAATTCACCACTCAGCAAAAATAAAAAAATATAATTTAAAAATAGTAATCAGTTCAAATAGCTCGAAATAAGTTGCTGGGTATTATTCTTTTCATCGGAGCTTTCATACATAGACTAACCATCTTCTTGTTTATCCTGAGGACAGTTCTTTTTGTTTAGATTGGAAATATTTGTAATAATCGGGATTAATTCCGCAAAATCTTCAAAAAAAAAACTTTTTAATTTTATTTGTTCTAAATTTTCAAATTTTCTTAAGAATTTATGGCTAGCCTAAATCTACAGTTTTACATGCTCTAGATATTTTCCACTTCATTTACACAGCTTGATTTTATGCTTTTGTTTTCAGAACAGAACTCAACTCAAAAATATTTTCGATTGTTTAATTATTATGGTCAATAGCTAACGTTAAAATAAACAAAATTTTATTTTATGATCTTCTTTTGTGAAGAGTAATTTGATAGGGTTTTTTTCCATTGAAAGGTGCTTCAATTTCTTTATTAAAATAATATGTATACTAATTTTTGAAAATGATATATAGAGTAAATCTAAATTTAAGTCTTCTTTTCTAAGCGCATTCGAAATGTATACGATGGTGAATGGATTAAATTCATAAGAGTTAAAAACATAAATAAAAGTGGAAGTAAATTTAGTATGAATTAAATGGTACTAATAATAATGATGATGTAATTATACCGTACAGACAATTTAATAAAAATAAAGAAAATTATGTCATGAAAAAGTGCAATTGTCTTTAATTACAATTAAGCTGTTTTCAGCTATTAGATTCAATATTTATTTATTTTCTCTATTTTAATAGTTTCAGCTGATTTTTATAAGTGTTTCATTGTTGTTTCTTAATCTCATCTTTTGTTCAGGCATTGTTGAACTCTTTGATCGAATAAATATAAAGTTTTGATAAATGAAATTATAAGATAAGATTTACACACTAAGCATAATATAAACCTTTCAATTGAGAGAACGAATATTGGAAAAGTGTTAATGAGAGATTTCATTAAATCAAATTTAAGATCAAAGAATGAGAAAGTAAATAAAGTTATTTGTATGTTTTCAATGTGAAACAGCCTCTCTGAAAATTTAATGTTTCGTCGTTCTTCTTAACCTTACCACATAACTTGATAATAAAATAAAACTGAAGAAGGATGAGAAACTTTTTTCCTTTAACATCACCTCTTTCCAGTAGAATGCTTTTTATTCACATAACTATATGATTGTGAGGAAAGTATATATATATGTATATACATGTGTAAGTTTAATTTTTATTTTATTTGAACAAGCAAAAAGTATGAATGCCAACATTTAAACTTTTAGCTTTTTCTTCACTGTGCAACCTTTTTTGCATGAACAATTTTCTATTTCTCTTCTCTGCCATGTTAGAAATGAAGAAAATCTTTTGTACTTTTTTTCTTACTTTACATACCAACAAAAAGAAGCGAAAAAATTTCTTTTTAATGTTTCACCTCTGCAACTAAGCAAAAAAAAGTAGCAAAGCTTTTTGTACAAGATAGAAGAAATAGTTTAAAAAATTTACGTTTCTTGCTGTTCAGTTCTAGTGGAAAGTGTCAAAAAGAAGAAAATCTCAATTTTCCTTGCTCAAACGAAATTTCATTCATTTCATCTCTCACATTACTTCATCTTATTTCATTGCTTCATCCTATTCACATTCATTTAAAAAAATGTCAAAGAGCGATGCTTTATTATGTGAAATGATGGCAGTAAGATTTCAAAAGATTTTTTTTTTCTGAAACGTCAGAAAACTAATTTGAAAAAAAAAATTTTTTTTTTCATAAAGCCTTGTGAATGAACTGATGCATATAAGAATTTCATGAAAAGTGCTGTAAGGTAGACAGTGAACAGAAAAAATATTTGCATTATGTTACACACAGAAACAAGCATGTCATTGAATCAAATAAATTTAAAAAAAGCACGAAGCAGAAGATTACACTGATATGTTGAATCACACAAGCACGTTTCCGAGAAGTATTTATAAAGCGACATTGACATTGTAACCCACATTATGTGGTTTGTTTGAAGCTAGTAGAATTATTTTTAATCTGAAAAAATTCTTAAATTTATAAAATTTATATTGTTGAAAATAAATCAAATTGATTGAGATTTTCTTTTTTCAAAAAACTTAACCTTACTTCAAAAATTTATTTGGATCTTTGTTTTTTTTTTTATAGAAATTCAAAAGTTTGAGATTGAAAGTAAATACATAAACTAATTAAACTATAAAAATATTAAAGATCTTTTTTGCAAATCTTTCAAAATATTAAATTTAAGCTTTCAAACCATTTTCGATTTTTTACAAAAAAAAAAACTTCTATAAACTGTCCAAATAAACTTTAATTCAATTACAATGCCAAGGCCTTCATAATATAAGGACTATGAAAATGAGGGATGACATAATAAGATTATGAACACCTGTTCCCTTCTTCCATCTCATCAACATATTTTATTTGCGGCCAACCATCACGTTGAGGATGAAGTACAAATATTGAAAAGAATCATTGAAGGATATTTAAGAAGTCTCACTATATTTACACAAGTGAATGGTTTCTTTAAGAAAATGAAGAAACGTGCAAGGTTTTCTTGAGTGAATTTTATACAGTCGCAAAAAATATTGAAGATGAAACGATGATGTTTATAATAAGAACAACAAAAATGTAATATTACATTGTGGCTTTTCAATATGCACACCTATACAAATTCAATATAAGCAACATCGTTACATAACTTTGCATAAAAAAGATGTTGGTGTCTTAAAAAATTCAATTGGTTTCATGTGAAAAAAAAGTATAAAATACTTGTAAAGGAACAAAGTAAAGAAGACACTTCACTTATATCATTTAAATATTATATCTTCTAAATCCTTATTCTTACAAAAAAAAAAAACAGGAGTCATTGAATGCTGTAAAAAACGAAGGTAAAGTTGTAGAAAAAGGGAAAAGATATAACAACAAGCAAATAAAAATTGTATCAGCAGGAAAAAGGAGTCATAAAACAGGATATAATGCAGAATAAAAAATATGAAAAAGCCTTTTTCCAATATATTATAAAATATTATTCTTTAAGCAAAAAATCTGGTTGATTGTGATCTTTATCCTAAAAATATTCCTCTCTTTTTCCGCAAAATGTATATAGTTAATATAAAATGAAAATAAAATAAAGAAAGGAAAGAAAAATTGTAGCATTGAAATTATGAATAAATATCATATAATATACTTGTTGTGATCTTCCTTCACATATGTGAACATGATATAACATAAAACGAAGATACATTCACTTTCTCATTCATTCATCCATTCATTCATTCAAACGTACATGCAGTTAGTTTTTTATATGAACTTGTGATATCTTTTATAGTTTGCTGAATGACTTTACGTCAAAGTTAAGTATGGAAAGAAACAGATATTAAAATAAATAAATAAATAAAAGCTTGAATAAATCGATATCAACATGTTCAGGAAAAAGAGAACGAGGATGAACTCATGTTTGTGAGTGCCAGTGTGAAAGAGAAATTGTGAATACTTCATATCAATTCACAAACTAACAGCTAGCAATATTCGATATGCAACCGACAGAATAAAAAAGGAGAACGGAACCTTTTTTATGGATTTTATTCAATTTCCTGCTTGATTTTTGCATGAAATATGCATGGGATCTCCTATACTCATATATATACATGTGTGTATTCTCAATATCTGCGATATGTTTCAACATATTCACTATTTTCACTTTAATTTTTCAATGAGCTTATAAAACTTTTATGTAAATCGAGATGCTACTGATACACATATAAATACATATCGGTTATTTTGCTTCAATATCCTTTACAAGCTTTAAGTTAAGTGTATATATGTGTGCAATCATGACAGATAAAAAATCTACGTCATAAACACCATCTGGCTACGTTGACATAAAAAACTAAAAGTTTTACACAGAAATCAATAAACCTACATTTTGAATCGTTAATCTCCTCCTTTTCTCGTTCATTTTATCCTCTTTAATGATGACGAACGTAATATAATAACATTACTGATATACGTCCTTATGTTTTACGTGATTGCACGATTGGGACAGAACTGTAATTTTCATCGGCTTTAACAGTGTGTCAATGTCTTACTAAATTTATGTTACTGCTAGAAATTTCTCTGCACACAACACACATTCACCGTTTTTGTTCTTCTTATCAAATAGACTCCTTTTGGACATTTTTATTTTGTTTTTTAGTGGGTAATGCACTGTTTTATGGTCATTTTTTTTATCACAAGTTCCTAGTTGTTATTCACATGGCGTAAAATCATAGTTTCTTATTATTAATAAGTTGTACTGGTCATTTTAATAAGCATGTTTTAAGTGTTCTAGGATTTAAAATGTATGGAGAAGTTTCTTCATATAACAAAAGTTTAATAATTCAGAAAACTTCTGTGCAATTAATTGTTCATGAAATAAAAACAGACGAAACAGGTTTTATGTGACATGTCATCTAAAAACAATGTTTTGTAAAGAAGAAGAAAAATGAAATTGCTGTCAAAAATTTTCCTGAATGTCACTGAATGTGTAAACATCTATAGACATGTATGGAGTGGGAGGAGAGAATGATGACAATAGCAAAAAATCTATGGATTGCAATAAACTTATGTTTTTCTTAAGGAAACAAAAATCCCAAAAGCAGTCACATATTAATAGGATCAATATTTTGCTCTGTTGCTTTCAAATAAATTTTCTTTTCTTCTTAGTTTTTCGATAAGAAAACATATTTTTATATCTATCTCTTTATCTGTTTGTCTACCCATGGAAGCATTTATGTACTGAAAAAATGCGAGCTTTTCATAAATGTACGACAACATATAATTTAATCTTTCTTTATCTTCAACATTGAATCAATAACATAGTGATGTTTGTCCTGAGAACTATTACGAAAGCAAAGATTCTTAATATGATAAGTTATGACATTTGCAGCTTAAAGGCAAGGGGATAATAAGAATAATGTCAAATACTGAAAGTTAAAATCTTAAATTTTCATTGTTTTCAACCAGTCAGTTGCAGTCAATAAGTTTTCTTATGCTGCTCTTAACCATATTGATGCAAAGGGTATGAAGCAAATCTACAGGTGGAAAATCGATCAATGTTTTCGACTGTTGAATGAAATTGTTTGCTTGAGGGCTTCAAACAAAACAAAAAAAAGGGAAACTTTCTGAGAGGCATAAAGATGTTTTCAATATTATTATTTTTAAGCGACCTCTTCAGGTTTTTAATAGCAATTTTTTTTTGTTTTATTGATCAAACATTTATTATATTTTAGCATTTTTTTTGTTGAGACCAAGAATTTATATTCTATTAATTAAATATAAATAACAAAATTTCAACAAATTATGTCTTATCAATTGACGAAACGTGGTTTTCATCGTGATGTCAATCAAAACCCAAAATATACACATTTTGATTGGACAACTAATAATCAATTAAAATCTCGAATTTCATGTGATCAACAAAAATTTGCAGATCGTGTGATATGTGAAGCTGAACGTGTCATTGATGAGACAAAGGAAACAACAAATAAGTTCAAGAAGGAAACTGATTATCGGTTAGAAGAAAGAGTCTCTCATATTGCATTTACTGTCGATGAGTTGAGAGAACAGAAAAAGTTGGGCGAACGTGAACAGGAAATATTGAAGGTTTGTTTCCATGATGATTTATTGATTTTTATTTCTATCATCTGCTCAATTTTAGTACTTACTTGTTCAGCACATCTACTGTTGATTTTTTAATATTTTTTTCTGTTTGATAGGATACAAAAAATCGAATCGAATGTGCAATCGAATCCATCAAGACTGATCCATTAGTCATATGTGAAAAATGCATCATATTGCGTGAAAATCGTACTGGAATAGGTAAAAGCATCTCTCATTTCGAAGCAATTGCAGCATATGTCATTTCGATTTGTGTTGAAACATCTGACTTGTCATCACACTAATGCATTTTCTTTTTGCTTTCTATTTCTGTTCAATTTGCGGTGGCATAAAGATAACGTTGATGATGATGTAGAGAAGAATCTGCGTAAAGAACGTGAAATTATTTTAGGTTCATTAGCTATATTGGAAAAGTTGCATGCCGAAACGGTTGAACAAATTCGAAAACTACGCGCTACCATATATTTATTAGTTCGAGACCTTGAGAATAAAGAAACTTCATTACAGATAGACCAACAAAATTTAGTCTTGCGTGAAAATCAAATTGATATGAAAATATATGAAGGAAGCATGAACCTTGATCCATAGTGAGTAAAATATTTCTCATATCAACACTTTCTAAACATATATTAAATAGAAGAAAATATAAGAGTGGTGGAGACTTTGAGATTGTGATTTTAATAAATATATTGATTTTAAAGTGATTTTAAGCTTTTAAATTTTGAATTATATAAGAACCAGTAGCTGTCATATTGCTGAATAAGAAATAAATGGAGTATATCCAGAAAGTGTTATAATTAACGTAAAAATTAAAAAAAAATTATCTGCTACCAACATAAACAAACTAGAAAACAAAAATTCAAATTATATGCATGGTTGGCACATAAAAGTACACTGGAAGCTTTCTAAGTACATGATCAATTGATGTGAGATCGTTTCAGCAGATGGAAACAATTTAATTAAGTAAAAATTACAAGATATATCTCAAGCAATTTTTCTGTATTTTTTTTTCACTTGGCGCCACATCCTGAGGTGAGTTTCACTCATTTATTTAATGGTGAAATTTTGACAATATTGGTGAATTGAATAGTGTTGGATTTCCTTAAACACGTGACTTATTTGAAAGTAACGACTATTAGCCAAAATAAAATAAATACGACCAAAGTCGAATATTATTGCTATACGACCTAAGTCGAATATTATTGCTAGAACAATTACATGTGCACATTAAATATCCAAAATTAAATACAATTGGCATAAACCAAATAAAATCTGCTGAAGTTAAGTCCACTAGACAACTAAACGTGATGGAAAAATCACCCTTTGAGTCCAAATCAATCCTCACAACAAGATCCCCTGGATCAAATGAAAAAACACCAAGCACCATAGTATCCATAGATGATGGAAAAGTTCCTAAAAAGAGAAAACGAGATGGTATTAATGGAAATGATAATATGAGTGTAGGAAGTGATGAAGACGAAAATATGGATACAATTTCTCTTAAAGATATCTTTAATCTTATTAATGCAAAAAGTGAAAAAGATAGTCAAGAAAGAAATTTAATAAAGGATGAACTAAAAACTGAAATGAGAAATATTAATGAGAAAATTGTAACAATCGAAAATAAGGTGAAGATAATTGAGACGAAAGTTGATGCTGTTACATTGTTAGCACAACAAAATAAGAAAATAATTAACAGCATGTGTCAAGAGAAAATGGATAATTGCATGGAAATTGATGGATTACAGAAAAATCTGATTGATGAATGCAAGGACCTGAAAAGGCTTGCAATCGAAACAATAAATTCATTTAAGATTGAAATATCAGAAATGGACATTGAGAGAGTCAATAGGAAAAATTTTCAGCGTAAAGACAAAAATGAAAATGTGAGCGATCATTCAGTTCTTACAGTCCGATTCAAGGAATTTGATACAAAATTAAGGGTTATGAGAGAGAAAAAGAAGGTCAAAGATGACCGTAAAATCTTTTTTAATGCTTCATTGACTTCTCTTAATCGTTTCATTATGAGTAGTACAAAAAAAATTGCAAGTAAGAAAAACCTGAAAGTTTTCCTAAAAAATGGAAAAGTGCATGTCGAAAAAAGAGACAAAAAGCTGATGACGATTGAGAATGAACAGGATCTGAAGAATTTTGAAAATTTTGTCGAGCAGCTTCAAACTACTGAACCAAAACAATCTACGTCTACAAATACTCAAAAATAGCAACTAAATGCACCTCCATCGTCTAGCATTATAAGTCTAAATAATAATACCTGTCATAAGTCAATAAAGTGTTTTAAGAAACAAATCTATATCGATAAAGGGATTAATATTTTACAGTTGAATGTCAGAGGAATTAACAATTTTCAGAAATTCAATAAAATAAAAATTATGCTTTCAAAATTAACAGATAAAATTGATATGATAGTTTTTGGTGAGACAAAACTAATGGAAAAATTCCCTACAAATCTATACAATATTGCTGGTTATTATAGGCTTGTCTGCTGTAGAAAAAGCAAAAACGCTGGAGGTGGACTATTAATTTTCATAAAAAGGAATATTGTTACTTTTAATGTCAAAACTCACTCATCTAGCTTTGAAAAAATCGTATTCAATGCGAAAATGGGTCAAAAATGTTTTAAATTAATCAACTATTATAGACCTCCAAAAAGTGAAAATCTAAAAGATTTCCTTGAGGATCTTGAGAATGAATTAAATTGTACTGATGAAAGAATAATGGTGATTGGTGATATTAATATACATTATAAAGAGGATTCTAGAGAAGCAAAACAATATTTAAATATCTTATCATCATATGACATGAGCATCATCAATAACTCAATATCCAGAAACGTTAGTCAAAAGATTATAGATCACTTTGCATGTAATTTAAATAGTAATAATATAAAATGTCACACAATTTGCATTGACAATGAGATAAGTGATCATAATATGATAGTGACAAATATAAATGATGTCCAAATATCAAATAAAAAAATAACTAAAACGTTCAAAAGAATAAATTATGTAAAGCTTAAAAATGAGTTCAAGAAAGAACTAAAAAACGTGTCCATTTATGAGTACGAAGATCCAAATGCTATTGCCGATATTTTAACAGAGATGACAAAAACAGCTATTGAAAATTCTACGATTGTGCATAAAATCAGAATAAAAGAGCGTTATGATCATTGTGAATGGCTAAGTCTTAAGACACTGAAGCTTTTTGCACAAAAAGAGAAAATTTCATATAAGATACGAAGGTCTAGACAGCGCTCATACACTCATAAACTAATGATAAAACAGCTAAAGAGAAAACGCAAATCTCTATCCTACAAAATTAATTGTGCCATGAAAAATGATGAAATAAAGTACTATTCAATTCAATGTCATGAGAAGAACCCTAAAAAGTTATGGCAAAAGCTTAATTCAATTCTTGGGAGAAAAGAGAAGGAAAGCATACAGGCAGTTTTTGATAATAATGGTAACATCCTTACTGATGATTTGGAAATTGCTGAATCGTTCAACAGAAACTTCATTTCCAGCATTGAATCTATTTTAAATGAAAATGACGTCAGCGATGAAAAGATAAATGATGAACCATCTGGAAAAGAAATAAATAATTTAACAACAAGTGATGAAGAAATTGTGGGAATAATAAACTCCCTTAAAAATGCATCTTATGGTATTGATGGCATCAGTACAAGAGTTGTTAAAACAATCTCAAAAGAGATATCACCAATTATGTCCCATTTAATAAAAATGATTTTTGAGAAGGAAATATATCCAACATGCATGAAAACAGCTGTAGTAATTCCAATTAATAAAAGCGGCAATAAAACTTCCCTATCAGACTATCGACCTGTGTCAATTTTGACAATTTATAACAAAATCATTGAGAAGATAATCCACAAGGAAATATATAATTTTGTCTTTAATGAGGCACATATAATGTATGAGAAGCAGTATGGTTTTCGCAAGAAATGTGGTACGGAAACGGCTGTTATGGAATTAGTTAATGCGATAAGAACGGAAATGGATAGTAGGAAAAAAGTGTCCGCTGTAAGCATGGATATTAGGAAAGCTTTCGATCTGGTTAACACTGAACGATTACTTCACGCCCTTAATTTGGCTGGAATTAGAGGAAAAATGCTTAATGTCATAAAGAGCTATTTGACTAACAGGAAACAAAAAGTGAGAATAAAATCTACCATGAGTAGTGCCATTGATATAAAATATGGAGTTGTTCAAGGTGGTGTGCTGGGAAGTCTTCTCTTTGTCATATTCTTTAATTTCATCAGTAAACTTCCTACTCATGGCAAATTTTATCTTTTTGCTGATGACGCAATATTGGTGAATTCACACGAAAGCAAAGAAAATATTGAAGGAAAAATATCTCATGATATGAAATTGATTAAAAAGTTTTTGGATGAACAACATCTGTTCCTTAATGAAGATAAAACTAATTGCATCATTTTTCACAATCCGCAAATGAAAATACCAAAACCTGATGAAATTGATATTGGTGACAATATGAAAATTAAGAGAGTTGATAGCATTAAATATCTAGGAATGATTATGGATGAACACTTGAAATGGAATCTACACTATGATCACTTGGAGAAAAAACTTGCACCAATCGCGGGAATTTTATGGAAATTAAGGCATAAACTGCCAATAATGACCAAGAAACTGATTTATCAAACTCTTTTCGAGACTCACATCAACTATTTAGTTACAATTCATGGTACAGCTGATGATTGCGTTGTAGATCGTCTTCAAAAACTCCAGAATCAGGCATTAAGAAATGTCTTTGATATTGATCGACTGGAAAGCCGTGTAGAAATGTACACCCATAAAGTCCAAAACTGTCTTCCGTTACGTGCAATACACTTTGTGAATACAGCAGCATTTGTGTACAACAACATTAAGAAAAACATCCATTCCAATATCACATTCAGTAAGGCATCTGGAAGTAAAAGAACAAAAGTTAATGAAAAGCTATTGAAGCCTATTTCTAGAACAAAAAGCGGAAAGAAAAGAATCTCATGTTATGCTGTAAATATCTTTAATAGCATAAGCGATGATATCAAACACTTACCACACGTACACGCCTTCAAGTGGGCACTAAAATGCAGCATACGGAATGAGGAATTCATCGAATTGTGCTTTAATGGTCAATACACGAAAAAGTACATAATTGCCTAGAAAGAAAAACAAACAGAAAATAATTATATATATTTGAAAGCTTACTGGATTAAATTGGAACGATTTACTGTTGCTTGACATCCCTATCCAGCTGTTTTAGATCTGTTGCAACTTGCTTAGTTGACTGACATCGTTGGAATTCTTTTATTTTAATTTGTTATTCAAAACACTAAATGAAAACATAAACAACAAATTTTCCACCACTAAACTCACCTCGAAAATTTCAAATATCAAAATTCCGTTAAAAAAAAAAAAAAAAAAAAAAAAACAAGGAATAATTCACTGACAAATTCATGCACTAATTAAATTAAATTATCCTTACCATTTGCATTTAAAATCACAAAACACTACTCCTAATTGTTATTAAACTATTAAACTTTCTACTGAACACACACAACATAAATTCACCTTAAACTTTTATATTAGAAAATATCGTTAAAATGTAATGAACTTCTTTGTGAGCACTTTAAAGTTTTTATAAAACGCTGTTACTCACAATTGTGTCCTCGATAAGAGGAACTAAATGTACCATTGTTTTTAATGTAATGAAGCCATGACGATGCTCTGGCTTCTCAAACTAATTGAATAAATAATAATAATAATAATAATAATAATAATCTTACAATTCTATGTCCACTCGTCTATATAACACATAACTTTTATTTTATTTTTCTTAGTAACTCGACCATGCAGGAATGGACACGCGAAACAACAAAAAATATTGAATTGTGCAAACAAGAAATCAAATGTGGAATGTCTTTACGATCATATGTGGAAATCCTATTCAAGCAAGTTGTTGAAGATATTTCCAACCAATTTAATCGAACTAATGAGTCATTTCGGACAAGAATGGAGGAAATACGATATATGAAAATGAAATTGGAAGGGTTGCATTGTGGTACAGCAAATCAGGTGAAAAATACTGTCCTTTTTAGCGCATTTTTGTATACTTGTATACAAAAAGGGAGCTTAATAATACACTTTGTTCGTTCGTTTGGGCGAAGAAAAACTTTTTAACCAAACATCGCAGAGAGCTCAGGTTTGTTTTATTAGCTCCGTTACTATTGATTTATTGGCCGATCGAACAGTTAAATGTCTTGAAACAGTGTATTTATACTTTAATTAATGGTTTTTTATTTCATAAACAAAACCACGTGATGAGTACGTTTAAAAAATTCAAAATTACCTCTATAATTTCAAATTTTTTCTAGCCGTTGTAAAATTTGAATTTAATAAAACCGTTATATGATAAACTTTTCTGTATGGAAATTCATTGCAACAAATTATTTATTATACTATAATTGATGTTTTTGATTGCAACTTTTAGCGGAAAAATTTCAAAAGCCTTTCTATATGAGCACTCATTATAAATAATTAGATAATCAAATACTGATCGCTGCGTCAAAAATGCGCTGAAGTCCCTCGATCAATAACACGAGGACTTTTGTAATTTTTTTCCTTTTGTTCATTTCTTTTCAATAACGTCTTTAAATCATTCTTATTCTTTATATTTTGATGCGGTTGTTGAATTTGATGCGACTTGCTTACACACAAATAAAATTAACCCGAACATGAAAACTAATGAATTTTGCAAAAAGGTTAACGATTTAACTAGAAATATAACAAAACTTGAGAAGGAATTAGCCGAGAAGGAGCGATATGTTGCTTTATCTCAAATGAGATTGGGGAATCGTGCACAGAGAGTTGGTATAGAGTTGTGCAAGGATAAAGCACAGGACACATTGATGAGGGAATTGATGGCACTTAAGGACACTTACACAAAACTTTCTCATATGATCGATCAGGTTCGTACAAATGTACTATTCAGCATTTAATTGAAAAACTTTTTAATTTTCATTTTAATTAAATGTGACAAAAACTTCCATTCTAGTCAAAGACAACCCTCCGCTACTTATTGAATACTCAGATGCTGCAAGAGGAAGAAATAAATTTAAAGATAAATTCATTAAAAATTGACATGGACTGCATGACTGTTCGTGAAAGTTTGAAATTCAAAGAATTCTAAATGTAGTGAATGAAAAGCTGAAGCAACTCAAAAGCACTGCCATAGCACGGATATGCTAGCATAGAACACAAAATTTGAATGAAAAGAAAACATAAATTTTTAAGTCATCGCATAAAACAATAATTTGTCTGATATCGCTTTCGTGTGAATTTTTGTAGCTACCAAATCATGACATAAAAATAAACAGTTTCTCGCTTCTCATGTTGTATTGTGATGTACTCTCGTACGTAGTGTGTTCATAAATCAAAAATCAACTTTTGAATTGTTATTCATTTTTCTCTATATATTTTCCATAAACCAACACTTTTCAACGTTTCTTTAGGATGGAGTTTTTTTTTCATTTCATGCATAAAAACCAAATCTAGACTAATATATTTTTTTTAAATCCAGGTGATACTTCTCTGAATAAGTCGTTTATACTTTTTCAAAGAGTTTATGGATATTATAGCCTTTTAAATAATGTAATATTTATTCAACTTTTAGTCGTCGACGAAAAAGTCCTTTTAAAAATTATAAATGCTGCGAAAAGAATTATTAATTTTCATCATTAACCCTCTTTTTGTCATCTCTTCACCTTCGCTTCATCCTTGTTAATTTTCATTATCATTATTCAACCCACATAATGAATTAGAAAAAAACAATGAATAAAGAATAACAAAACAAAGAATGGCACTCGTGAAAAAGGGACACGGTTTCTTTCAAATTAAACGTAATTATGAATCTCTTAAAATTTCAACCAGTTGCGAAATAACTCGTGTATTAAATTTGATTTCTCGAATGATTTTAGGAAAATAAATTATTTTATGTCAATGAGCATTTAAACAAAAGAAAAAGATGTTTCGGTCCCAGTTAAATTTAAAGCTTAGCAAGTAGAATAAATCGATAGGAAACTGACTTTGAGCTTTCTCAAACCGCTGATACTATAGTAATCAACTTACTATAATCAATCCTGGGTAGACCTCGATTTGAGTATTGTCGATTTGAACAGATCCGATTTGAGTAGGATTTTTCAGGAACAAAATAACTGCTCAAATCGAGGACCCTAGTATGCAGCATTTGAATAGAGTAAATGAAACAGAAAATTAATTCGATGGAAGTGAAATTTTACTTAAAGCACAAATTGAAAATTATGGATCTTAAGTCGTTGTTTTCTATACAACTGAAAATTTCTAGTCATGAAGTAAAGCAGAGGAGTTTCATATAAATTATCATCAATCATAGTGCTTAAGTCACAGGCTACGTAACAGATTCAACTTATGACGATTATTATTAAAATAGAAATTCTTGAAGATTCTGCCATGAAGAAATTGAAAATGGTTTGTCATAAGTACATTGCAGTTTAGTTTTTTCAATGGAAACTATAAAAGAAGACATCGAAATATTAAAATATATTTATGGCTAATATTTTATTCCTAATATTAATCTTTTAACTTAATGGTAATGATTATAAGCTTCAAAATGTGCTATACATTTCCAAAAGACGTCAAAAAAAAAGTTTAGGGCCAAAACCAATAAAGAACAAGAGAAATTCGATTTGGAGCAAATTCTAATAAATTTTTTACAAAAGCTATATTCAGAAGCAGTAATAACATACAACAGAAACAATAAATGCAATAAAAGTCTAGATGTAAAATTCAGAATGTATATGGACTATCGTAAAGCATTAAAAGAGAAAAAGAAGCGAATCGTTTTTGTATTGTTCAACAAAAGTATCTAAATACAATCAAAATGTAATAAAAATTTATTGTTCTGCATACAAGGCATATGAGGTTGAATTTGTACTGTCCAAGTTTTTTTTTTGTTTTACGTAACTACCAACGTCTGACAATATAATGCTTTATTCATAATAAAAACGTAAACTTCCTTATTATTCCTACTTGTGTCCTTTGTGTGCAATAATCATATTCACACCGAATTTTCGATTTGTGACACCGAAGCAAATAAGAATCGGGTTATGACCGATTCCTTTAATTACTTTTTTAAAATTTTTGTACTACATCTAGCTTGTCGAAAAAAAATCTAAAATGAATAAAGTGCAAGATAGAGGAGGGGTTAAACTGAGAAACATAATTTTTTTGCTGGTTATTTATAAGAGCATTAAGTTTGTCTGATTAAGTTTAATGTCGATCAATGAATTGAGTCTAACATGTTTTCATTCTATTACTGCTTCCTTTTTAGGCTTTGAATCTGAGCGTAAAATGGATCCATAGTTAAGGATCAGGGTTAGATGCTTGAGATTAAGCTTTTATCGATAAAATCGACATTTACCACAACGGTACGTTTGAAAAATTGCAAATCTTTCTTATAAGCTAGCCCTTGATATTTAACAATGAACCAAAAAAAAAACAGAGAAAGCAAGTCTCATCGGCAGAAAATCTTTATGTCTCAGCATGAGTCATGAGCTCAATTTAAAAAAAAATCTTAAAAACGATAAAAGCATAATTTTTATTAAAATTGGTTTAATAATAACATAGCTTTTAGTGCTTTATTAATTATATGACCTAAAGTGTAACACATGTCTTTTTGCATCGTTCATTTACATAATTTGTTAATTTAGCATTACCAATGGATCATTTGATTTTTGAAAATTTAAAAAAAAAAATGTTATTCTGAATGAGAAGTGATTGTAACGTTTTTCAAATTCATGCTAAAATAAAAAAAATAACCTTAAGTAGCCGAAAAGAAATTTTAACTTATGGTGTGAATATTCTCATGAAACGTGTTTTGCTTCAATTCTAGTTTTATTATTATTACATTTTGTATTAAATTGATTGCGAATGCTTTGCCTTTCTTTTGTATGAATTTCTATCAATTTTTGGTGATCAAAGAATAATAAATCGAGAGTTAAATAATTGACATTCGAAATTTATTTGTTTTTGACTAAAGTAAAAAATTAAACAACTTTTAATTTTCTCCTTATTTGTTTAAATTGCGGCTATGGATAGATTAGGGTTAGCTAAGAAAATTATAAAGAGTCAAATATTAAGAATAAAATAAAACGTTTAATTATTTCAATACCAAAAATAGGTTTAGGACATAAATTTCTTTCTATAAATAAAGCCACAAGAAAACATGTAATTGCAATTATAGAGAAGCAAAATTTTTGAAATAAACCATTTTATTTTGTGTGATAAACGATTTAGAAGTTTTGGAAAATTTCCAAATAATTCTTCTTTATTTTTTCCCTTCTTTGTCCACATTCATACAGCTTTGTCAGTGGAACAAGAAGAGGCTAATTTGTTCATATCTCTAGGTTCTTTTTTCTTTTTTTTTAATAATATTATGCGGTTTTTGCTTATTCACATAAAACTTTATTCATTAAATTGTAGAATGATTACTCAGTCTCCAAATCCATTCTATTTCTAGTCTGCAATTGCAACTAATGTCATTTCATGTTTCCATGAGGTTTTCGTGGTTTCCAAGCAATATAATTTAACAATTTATAGATAGGGATCTGTTTAAAATGTTACCTATTAAACCACATTAAAACACACACCGCGCATCATTAAAAGTTTACGAGAGATACGCGCACTGCTTCAAGTCGGAAAAATATTATTTTTTTCATTGCTCGTTCTTTATTGATGAATTTTATAGGTTTTCAACTTATTTTACCAGCTGTTGATAACAAAACAGACACTTTCACGCATTTCATATTATTGCTGTTTCCATGCGGTGAGAACTGTTCATATTTGATAACTTGGCAGTAATATAATTTTCATCGATAATTTATTGATTCGTCTGTTTAATTAATTATGTTTTGAGCAACTCTAGTTTTTAAAGGAAAATAATTTGAATTTGTTTTTAAATAGCTTCAAAGCTTTGGAGAGAAATCTTCAAATGTCAAACGGGCCAGTCAGCTTTTTTTACACATGATTTTAAAAACAAAAATCAATAAGTTGATAGCATTGAGGATGCGTTTCATGTTTGCGGAAATTGCTTTTCTAATGTAAAATTCCATAAATACTTTCATTATTTTGATAAGACTTCTAATGAAAATAAACATTTTAAGTAAACTTTAAATTTTAAACATTTCAATTTTCATTTTTAATGCAACACTTAAAAATTAAGTATATATCCAATGTACCAGAGAAAAATAATGATGGAATAAACATTTTATATACCCATTTTTTTTAGGGAAAGAGAAAAAGAGGAAAATATAAAATTAATTTAAAATGGTAAATTATATTTTTTACTTCAGGTTCGACGTAAATTCGATTGGATAATTAAATTAATCATTTCCAAATTGTTTTTTCCTGCTGCTTTGCTCTCGTTTTAATTTTGTTGTTGCTGGCAAAAGCCCAGAGCTACAGCTTCAAGCAATGAATACATCGAAGTTTAACATGATCGAAAATTATTCTTTTTTTACTTCTCTATTTCTAGAGCTGGATGTGAAAATTTATTTAATCATCTTTCCTCTTTTTCTTTCGTAAATTTTCTTCATTACTGCTTTTACACAAACAAACATAAAATTGTAAATTTGCTACAAATATAAATTATATGCTGCAAGGAGTTTTTGCTTGGTTTAGAATCATGCTATTGGTGTATAATAATTTATTTGAAGGGATGAAATTTATTTTATAGACCTTATTTTATGGCAAGAAAGAAACTCTTGAATTGACTTATTAATTAATTAATTTTTGTGGATATTATAACCTTTCTTACTGTTTAATACTGTATTGTATTAGTCGGATCTGGTAAATTTTTTAAAAAAAATTCAATGACAAAGTGCATGCTCATGTCCAAAGTTTTTTTGACAAAAAAATATATACATGCATGTTTATGAGCTAAAAAATTGCTTTGAAAATAGACATGACAGAACAAAACAGAAACAATCCAACCGCACTCAGATATAAAATACATCTAATATTTAGAGAAAGCCCTCATTTGAATTCTTAAAATCATTCTCAAAAATACACATCAGTTTAAATAGGGTGCGAATAAAGCTTAAGATCAGATTTTGTGAACATGAATTCCTAAGCAAAGCTATGACTGTAAAACATCAAAAAATTATAAATATAGTCTCGTATAAGCATATTTGAATTTATTCTAAAAAAAGAAAAGAAGATACTTATTTGTATGTGTTTGAAGATCTTCCCCATATGTCTGAATGAAAATAACCAACAGTCTACAAAACATTTGTTTGTAATAAAAAACGCACTAATAATTTTCGGCTAATGCTTTTGTTTTTATTTTTCTCATTTTTCATTTT